CAGTTCTACCTTATATCACGATTTAGTCCTGTGCTGAAACGCAAGTTCTAGGGGTAAAAAGCAAGTTCAGGAGCGTCCTTCCAACCCCAAATCATTTTTTCTTACTGCACACCTGCATCTCCACGCTGAAACAACACTTGTTCGCTCCTCTGAGCATCCAAACCGGCACATTTGGCTACTTTCCACTCACGTGGATGTTGATGCTGAGTTTAGGAAGCGGAGGAACAGCCTGGGCTTAATCTGACGGGCTCCAATAACAACGTCAGCGATAACACATCTGTGTGCCCTTCGAGGCAACCCGAGTACCTGCCTGGGGTCCTTGGCAGGCCCAGGGGTTGCTGTGCAGCTTTGCAGGTGTTACCTGAGCCAGGTAAGTTACAGCCAGAGTGGGTTTTCCTTAACGTGCTTTGCAGTGACACTTTCCACGGGCAATATTTAGGTCACCGCACGGGTCTCCTTGTGTTTGAATAATGGCAAGATTAAATTTTAAAGTATTGCAATGTCTCTTTAAGATAAAGCACGTTAATCAGGTGTTTTTCGCCCAAATTTCTGACTGCGACTGATTTTATTGTGTTAAGAGGAACGTTGTGTTAAGAGGAATAAACACGATAGCATTAAATAGAGGTAAACAAGCGATATGAATTTATAAACTCATTATCCTGTGCAGATATTAGACATGCCTGGAAGGTTAAACCCCTCATTCTCATACAGACCTGATGATTTTATGATAATACCCCCACATTTTAGCCATTGAAGCTTTGAGAACCAATTTGAATTTCTCTGTTCCTCGGTAATATGACTGTCATTACCAGATACATTTTGTGCTGAGGAGATCATTATGTGGCAATCTGCTAACTTGTTCTTTCTGCTCTTCGTTCCTTCACATGGGATATTGTTCTTTGTGAGGGTAATTCTTCCCACTCTTGCACAAATGAAAATCAATATGGACGGTGTAGGGAAACCCATCCCCGAATTTAACCCTGAAATAATTACATTTTCTGAATATATTTTTGGTGAAAGTTCAGGCAGATGGAATTATAAAGCTGTAGCCCACAGCTGCTTGCATGAAGTCAAAGAAAATCCTCTGTAGGCCAACTGTGATGCTGCAGAGGGTACAGTGTGTCATCCTGCCAAATTTAATTGACAACCTCTCAATCAAGGATTGAAAAGCAGAATCATCACAATGCATTGGCTGCTGCCCCCACTTCTGCCCAGGCTTCTCATCTGAAACGGTCACTACTTTAAAAACCAGAACAAATTCTCAGAGCAGAAAATAGAAGTGAAATTCCTGTCTCACAACAAGTAGCAGACACAGTTAAGCCTCTTGCTCTGTTCTTTGAGGTTTATTTTTGTGCTGCAGCCCATTCTTACCAGGAGTGTGAGGCAACCACAGCAAACCCTCAGTGCCTCAGCCTGGAGGAGGGCACGGTCCAAGCAGGTAGAGAGACATTTGGGCTCCCACCTGGATGGGTTTGGAGAGACTCTTCCCTTTCCTAGATATTTCTCTACCACCTAGATCAGCACAGATAACAAACATCAAATGCAACCCCGACACCCACGGTGTTAAACAGGAATTGTTGTCCTTGCTCTGATCCTTCAAAGAGCACTGACAGACTCCGAAACCCCGCATGTATGGGCCCAGGATCCCGAGCTGATGGAAACACCCACACAACTGGCTATGCAAAGCAAGTCTAATACATCCCTCCTTTGATGTTTCCTTCTCCCAGGTCTCTCTGCTTGGCAGGTGGGAGTTTCTACTCGCCCTTGGGAAGAGTCTGACACTCTCCAGGCTATAAATAGAAGGATGAGGTACCTGACTCTGGGTATTCTATTGCGCTCTGGCAGCCGATACCCAAAAGCTGGATGTTGCAGCGCATTTATAAGCTCCCAGCTCTCCCTGAAATGCAAACTAGCAATGGTACAACGCAAAGTGCAGTTGGGAACACGGCCTGAGTGGTTTTTGTCTCAGCATATCTGTACATCCTCTGTTATTTACAGTGCATTTACACCGAATGTTCCCTCCTGCTACAGAATTCACTCAAAAACCTGCTCCAGCACTACAGGTGAAAGCATCCTCATCTGGCTTCTTCCTCCAAGGCCCAAAGCCACATTCTTAAGGAAATCACATGTCTTTCCAAACAGACTCAACCCTTCTTGGTTTTCTTCCACCGGGGAAGAGGGGAGCGGGAATTAACCCCAGAACAAGTGCTGGCTTCAACCATAAGCCAACCATAAGCTGAGTTGAGACCAAACTTCTTGTTGTTTCCAGAGGCTTTGGAGCAGGTTACTTTGGGGGGAATTGTGCTTTTATCCCCTTGAGCAGAAGCAGATGAAGAAACTGCTTAGTGCAGTGGGATTAGGTGACGTCTCAGCAGCAGGAAGTAGGTTTCTGACTTAGGCCAAGACCACTGCATTTTCCTCTGAAAAGAGCACCTTTTTCCCTACTCACACAAGACTTCTAGCAATAGTGGTTTTAAATTTTGGCTGAGAACCTGTACGTATCTTCTCTCAGCATGTGCCCCTGTTGTGTCTCCACTGCCCAGGAGCAGAACACCTACAGAAGGCGGATGCAACTGCTGGAGTTGTGTTTCATGGTTGAAACAGTGTCAGCAGGGAACAGCTCGGTTTACAGGGGACAACACAAAGCTGTTGATGAATGTGACCGTTAATCAAGATGGAAACAATAAAAGAGCTGTGAGGACTTGGTTAATCCTGTGTACTCTGACAGAGTTAAACTTCTCCAGCTCTCCGATAAGATAGGACTGGTTTTCTTTATCTTTTTTTTTTTTTTTTTTAATATTCGAGGCTACTGAAATGCAGAAGGACCAGATGGCCATGTAAGCTAAACAATGTGCAAAATCTTTCTTATATTATCTGTAAATGCCCCGAGGCGGTGGGAGGAGAAAGGTTGTTTAATTGTTAGGAGTCATTTAGCAGCAAATGGCAGTTTTCTGTCTTTATCGACTTACAACAAAAGATTGGGACTGTACCCTTGTGGGGCCACCTTCTAATATGACAGGGCACATATTTCATCCCTCTTTAAGTCATCTAGTGATATCTTGCGTGGCACTGTATGTCACTGAACTGTGGGGTCATGCTAGTAAAGAGGTTTTTTTTTTCCATGAGCATTTGGTCCTATACCAAAATCCAGAATTTTCCCCTGGAACACAGGAAGCTCCTGTGTCAGCAGCAGCTAAATCCCATTGTTGTTCTGGGGTTTTGTTACGGTTCAGAGGAGAAAGTACTGGAGGGGTCTGATTTCTCTCCTGATCTAATATTTGACCTTCAGCAACTCATTTCACCTCTATCTTCCTTCCTGCCCTCTCTTTGTCTTTGTATGTAGTGGCTGTAGTCAACAGGGACTCCAGAGGCTTTAGGAGGTTCATCTCAGCCATCTGAGACACCACATTAATGTGATCCTGGGCCTTGGCTAATTAGCTCTGCCCCTTGTCAGGACTATCACAGTGCTGTGCTGACACACTTAGACTGCTTTTTAGCTTAAGAACGGCCTCAAGGATCTCCTCACAGTGTTCTATTACACAGAATAAGTAGTGCTGCCCTCCTGCAGCTCAGGGAATCATAGAATCATAGAATATCCTGAGTTGGAAGTGCCCATAAGGATCAATGAGTCCAGCTCCTGGCCCTGCATGGGACATCCCAACAATCCCCCCATGCGCCTGAGAGCATCGTCCAAATTCTTCTTGAATTTGGCAGAATTGGTGCTGTGCTCCCTGCCCTGGGGAGCCTGTTCAGTGCCCAACCATCCTCTGAGTGAAAAACTTTTTCCTAATATCCAACCTAAACCTCCCATAATACAGCTTAGTGCTGTACCCTCGGGTGTGAGAGAAACCAGGCCTTCTTGGTTTGCTACCCTGCCCTCCCCCTGATTCATAGCTGGTCCTCCATGGGAATCTCCATCCCTGCCCACATCCCTCTAACTGGAAATGAACTGCCAAAATCTTTTAAGGAGAGGGGAAGCTCCTTCTTGCAGGAACCCCTTTAGGCTCAAGTCATCAGCTGGTTTCACCCCTTTATTCCCCTTTTCCCAATGCCTTCCCTTTGTGTTTCTTGCTTGTTCTCGTTACCTCTGGTTTAGAAGGATTTCTCCAGTGCCTGTTTCTTTCTCCCTACAGGCTGAGGCTCCACCGGGACAGCACAGAGAGGATGGCTGGGGGTGACACTTGCGTGACAAACCACTGCCTGGGTCTGCACAGCTGTGCCTCCCCGGATAATCTACACCAGGAACAGCAGCTCGTCAAGGGCAGATGACAGCAAAGGGTATTTAGCGATTGTTCCTGGGAAGGCAACGTTGGCAAAACAAACTGGCAAGGCCGGCACCTCTCTGGTGGGGTTTCACTACCGAGGGACACTCTCAGTGACCTCCCAGCAGCTCTTTTGGGATGGGCTGTCCAGGGAGGTGGTTGAGTCACCTTGGAGGTGTTTAAGCAAAGACTCGATGTGGCACTTTGTGCCACGGTCTACCTGACGTGGTGGTGGTGGTGGTGCTCAGTCATAGGTTGGACTCGGTGATCTCAGAGGTATTTTCCGACCCAACCGATCCTGTGATCCTTTCGGCCCTGCAATCGGGAGTTCGGTAGATTTGAAAGCCAGGAGCTCTATCCAACGAGTTTTTGGCCTCCTGCAGAGGACCGCGCAGCTCTTTAGCCTGTTAACCACCACGTTAACCTGCCGCTGCCACACAGCGGGCCGAGAACCGGCACCCCCGCGGCTCCCGGTGCCACGTCGGTCGCCAAAGGCGGGCAGGGCGCTCCGAGCCCGGGCACGGCGGGGCGAGCGGCGGGGGTTGCGGGGGGCTCGAGTCCCCAGGAACGGGCAGCGCCCCGAGCCGAGTCCCCGGTGCCTGGCGCGGCGGGGCTGCCGGTGCCTGGCGCGGCGCGGGGGCGGCCCCGCGGCCCTCCCCGCGGCCCTCCCCGCCGGCTCCGCGTCCCGCCCCGCTCCGCCCCGGATTGGCGCGGCCGCCGCGGCTCCTCCCGCCGCCGCCGGGGCGCAGGGGGGATCCGGCCGAGCCGAGCCGAGCCCAGCCGAGCCTGGCGGCTCCGCGGCGCCCCGTGCTCCGGCCCCGCTCCGGGTAGGCTCCCGCGGGCGCGGCGGTGGGTGTGTGGGTGGGTGGGTGCGTGTGCTCCGGGCCCGGCGCGGTGCGGGGCAGGTGGGCGGCCGAGCGGCCAGCGGGGCCCTCCCGCGCTCCGCCGGCCATGGCGGCGGCGGGGCCGCTGCCCGCCCGCAGGACGGGGCCGTGCCGAGGGCTCCGCGCCCCCCGCGCTCCGCGTTCTTTCACCCGGTCGTTTTAACGCTCCCCCTCCCGGCGCCCGCCTCTCCCCGGGGTGGGGGTGTGGGGGGGTTTATCGCGCTGCCTGCCCTGCCCTGCCCTGCCCTGCCTTGCCCTGGCAGCGCTCCCGCGGCTCTCCCGGCCCCGGGAGCGGCCCCGTGTTCCCCCCTTCCCCAACACCGCCGGGTCACCGTGCGGGGCTCGGGGCATCCCCGTCCCCACCGTGGTTGCGTAACGCGACCGTCCCACGCGTGGCCGTGGGGACGCAGCCCCGCTGCTCTCCGCCTTCTCGCGGACCTGCTTTTCAAAACGCCCCCTTCCCTTATCTTTTTTTCCCCCCAAAAT